GCGCAGAGCCACACGATCGAGAGCGTCGCCGCGACCTACAGGCCGGAGCGACGGAGGGACATGAAATGGTCGGGCGGGATTACCTAGATTCGGGTGTTGCTAGAAGTACCCCTGGCCCAAGGTACGCCCAGGATTCTCGGGGTGGCCCAGGCGGCCTCCGGGGCACCCCTCACGAGGCCCAGAGGGCCTCTGGGGCTCCAAAATGGAACGAAAAGCCGGGGGCGCCTCGGGCCAGGGGCACCTTTAGCAACCACCGATAGATGGGGGGTGAAGAAAGGGGGCCTACAGGGAGCCCTTTTGGGCCCCTGCTGGCTCCAAAAGGGGCCCCAAGGGCCCCCCCATGTCGGTCACCCCCCACTGCAACCCGCTCGAAGGGAAGGGGCAGGGGGAGGGAGGGTCGAGGTTTCAGGTTTTCACATGTTTTCGTGTCCGTTCTCAGCGGTCTTCCAGCCTCGGGGTGCGTTCCAGCAGCTGCGCCTCGCCGAGAGCGCTCTGGGGGTGCTTGGGGCCCGGAGAGCCGAGCCGTGACCCGAAAGCCCAGGGGGCCACGGCGAGGAGTGGCAAGAGGGGGGACGGGCGGGTAGGGGGAGAGCGGTCGGCGAGGAGGGGAGGGAGGGAGGCGAGGGGCAACGGGCAGCGCAAGGGGAGGGGGGCGGGTAGAGGAGAGGGAAAGGGGGGGCGGCAGGGGGAGAGGGAGGCGGGGGAGGGAGGGGGGGGGGGCCGCGCGCTGCGCGCCACCGCGCGCCGCCCACGCGCCGCCCCCTCCTGAGAGGAGCGAGGATCCCACCCGCCAGGCTGCCGCCTATGGTCGCCTCGAGCGGCCGCGGGCCCAGCGCCAGGCCGCTCCGGAAGCGGCCCCCCAGCTCTGGCATTGAGGCGCCCCCGCCGGCGTCGCCCGGAGCCGGCGACGGCGGAGGCGGCGACGACGGCGGCGGGCCAGTGTCGGGATCCCGCAAGGGGGACGGGGCCCTGGGGAGGGGGGAGTTCGATTTGCTTTCGCACCGAACCGCCCACAACAGATGCCCCCAGCCGCCGGCAGCTCCCGATCGTTGCCGATCGTTGGGGCATGCGGGGGGCACCTGTTTGCGGCAGTTTGGTGCACCAACGGTTCTAACTCATTCGCCCCCTCAGGGTCACCCCCCCCCTTTTTGTGGATCCCTAAGGTGGAGAGGGGTTCAAGGCTTCAGGTTTTCGGACGTTCTCTTCGTCGGTGCCCGGCGGTTTTCCAGCCTCGGGGTGCGTTCCAGCAGTTGCGCCTCGCCGAGAGCGCTACGAGGGTGCCCGGATCGCTCCGAGCGGCTGCCAGAGAGCCGAGCTACGAGCCGACAACCAAAGAGCAGCGGCGAGACGAGGCACGCGGCGGCGACGACGGCGGTGGCGGGCAGCCGCAGCGGCGAAGGCGATGGCGGGTGGCGGCGACGGCGATGACGACGACGACGGCGGGTGGCGGTGACGGCGGCGTCGACGAGGGGCAGGGGGCGAGAGAGGCTTTTGATTGCAGCGTATCGCGCTGAAGGTGTACGTTTTGGAGGAGCATATGGGAGGGCCAGGCGTAGCCAGGTTGGCCCGACGCGGGGGCAGCCGGGGGAGTCCTCTCCGTGTGAGGCACGCCTGGGGCCAGCTGGGCAGGGCGGTGCACGGCTGGTGGGAAGAGGGGAACGCTGACTTGGCGCTAAGATGACTTGACACGCCAGTCGTTGAAAGGAGGTTTTCTGGATTTCCGGATCCCAATATACTTTAGGCGCCTTCCTACTTAAAGAGCCGATATGAGTTTGCTGCGTTCTGCCATTATGTAGGAGGGCCGGAACCCAATATGTTTGATCCGCTTTCCTGCTTCATGTGTTGTCATGTTTCTCCCGACAGGCTTCAAATATATTGCACTTTGCACGGAATGTCTCAGTGCCACACGCTGTTCTGTACTCGCGAGAGCATGTCGCTATCCATGCAGAGTCTTACAACCGTACGCAAACAGGGGTATTTGAAGACTGATGCTGGTCAAGCGAAGCTCGGCCAGGTTCAGGACTGTAAGCCGAACCTCTTGACAGGTGCTCACACAAGTGCAGCTCTCAATGGTTCGCAGCCGTGCCGCGCACCACGAGCTCATGGCCTGGCGCTACAGTCCGAGGTCATGTTTTGCTCAAGACGCCACGGCTCTTCCGAACACATCCACTATGGCGCTGGCCGTCAAGTGGACCAGGCGGAGGGACTGCTGGAGAGCGGTCTCCATCCCTACCCAGCCACGATCGGCCATGCGCAGAGGGGGGGGGGAGGGGGAAGGCTTCGTAGAAGCACCCCTGCTCCTCAGAAGGCGCCGGCCCTCTGTAGATGTAGGGCCAGCACCTTCTAAGGAGCAGCTTCCTTCCAAGAAGACTTCCCCCCTCCCCCCAGCCCCCCCTGCGCGCCGCCAGCACGAGGAGCTGCTGTGCTCCTGCCATCACCGGGTGGAAGTCAGCTCCCCTGCACGCGCGCGCGCACTTGCGGGCCTCTTGAGCACCTGTCCGCGAGGGGTGCGGCGCCCCCCTTCTCCGCAGACACCGCGGTGCGGTCGTGGATGCTGTTCACCGTCCTCCTCGCCGCCACCGCTGGTAGATTTGTTTTGCGCCGGAAAGGCCAGCCGGGGAGACGGAGTGCCCGCTCTGTGTCTCGAGTGTTCTCCTCGCAGGGCCGAGCCCGCGGAAGGGCATCTTCGATGTCGCGGCTGTGTGGTCGGAGCACAGCGTTTGTCTGCAGCAGCGTGCTTGCAAAGTGTCAGGGGCACGCAAGCAGGCAAGCAGGCAGTTGAGCATCCCTGAACGCCAAGGCGGCAAGAAAGGGAAGCGGACAGGCGAATGGGCGAGAGAGTTGGGACGGAACAGAACGTGCAACCCACTACCTGTGGCGTTCCAGTCAGGCTATGAGTGTGCATGCCTGAGCGCGTTGCCTCAAGCCACCACGTGACCTGTCGAAATCTCACTGCATGCCCACGTATGGCTCTCTCGGAGGCCTCCAAAAAAGACTTCAGCGCCATGGCGGATACTCGTCCGTGCTTCTCCGCATGGCCCTGCTCTTTCACCCTTAGCCGTCTGACTCCCCCGATCTCTTGCGCGCCTGCCCTCGCCCTTGTTCGCCTTCTGCACTCATGCCCTCGTCCTCGCTGTTATTATGCTGCTGCTCCCTCTCCTGTCGAGCCCCCTGCTGCTCGTGCGCCAGCTCCCAGCAGTGGCAGGCGCTTCATCGACTTCATGCCGGCGAGCTGCCGCAGATTTTGTGCAAGCCCACGTGAGGGGCCAGGCCATTGCTGTATCACCCCGGCGTAGCTTTCCCGAAGTTGCTGTCTTTTTGCTACGCCACTTGCAGGGCCATTCCCTGTCACAGAATCGCGATGCGAGTTTGTTCGCCCAGGGAGCCGCTGATGCCCGGGGCGGAGTCTAATGGATCGGGAGTTCGCTCCTTGAAGAAGCTGCGTTGTGCCATCGCATGTCTGGCCACACGAACTCCTGGCAGAGTCTGCTGCTGCGTTCCTCCAAACGCAGAGCCTGGGCTCACTGTCGAGACCCTCAGTGGCGCGCGGCCGTATCTACGGGACTACCACGAGTCGACGAAGAGCCGCCCTTCGAGGTCGACATTCCGTTTTGCTTGTTGCACATGGCAGCCAAACATAGTGCGACCATCGGGTGCTCAGAAAGCAAGGTGGGGAAACATCTGTTCAGAGGATTAAGGACAGTGCACGGAGGTACGGTGACGATTGTACACATGCTAGTGCGGTGTACATGCTAGCGTGTTTGCAACATGATGGATGTGCGCTTGGGCGTTGGACAGCAGCACCCACCCCACCATCATTATCATCACCCGATGAGTGGCATAGGACATTCGTGTTATAACACCTGGCACGCGCGCGAGTACCCTCCGAATGAACATGACAATAGTATTGGGAGTACACACTCGGAACAGATAAGACAGGTTCAAGCAACAAACCATTGTTGCGATGGATTTGTCCAGGCTGTCTGGCCTCTTCCAGGTGGGGCTGGGCTTGTGGCTGCGAAATAGAAGGCTGGGTAGCTCTGGGGAGGACTCGACTTTTCGGCGGGGGGGGGGCTGCTTTGCTCCACGGGGATGTGAATGCGTTTTGGGTTAGGACTGGGCGGTTCCAAGCTAACTTGGGTTCAGCATTGGTGGGTGAAGCTGGGATCTGATTGGGATGGGGTTGCGTTGGGGCGCGTTTAAGGGGATTGGAGACTAGACGGTTTCAGGGGAGCGTTGGTTCTTGGTGTTTCTGTTGGGATGTTGTTTTCCCCATGGGCATGGAGAGTGATTGGGTGGTCCCAGGCGGGTCGGGGCTCATGTGCTGTATCAGTTCGGGCCCTTTCAGAAATCGTAACTTGTCGATTTACGTGTGATCTTGGGAGTGCCATGTTGTCACGGTTTTCTAGCTAGGTTCGCTTGTGCCTCATCCGAGCGGACCCTCATGCGTGCACGCTCTCGCATGCCACGAGTGAGTGGAGGCGAACGTGATCAGAAAGGCGAGCCGCGCGCACGCACGCACGACTTGTGTGTAAGCTCGGCCGCGGTAGCACGCAACTCGGCGTGAGACCTGGCGGCAACGGGAGTGCAAAGATAGCGTTCAGGTTTCGAAGCGGTAGCGCAAAGGCACCCATCAATAGGGCTTGGCAGGGTCAGATGCACAGCAAGTTGCCCCTCCGATCAGCCCCATAGGCGTACAAAGCTGCTCCTGTTGAAGTTGTTGCCCTCACTGTGCCACGAGTTTGCCTGCATCTCTCTCGTCGCATTCACTCTGAGCTGAGCACGGACCCCGCAAGCGTGGTCCGTGCTCGGGCCAAGCCCTCTGATCCCACCATGTCCAATTGCCTTCCTAATGTGCTGACTTAGGCCGTGCTTCAGGCACACCCTGCGCCGGCGACTTCAATGCTGCTAGATTAGCGCGCCCCCTGCCCGACTTGGACCGGAGAAAGCTGCGAGCGCCAGGAGAAAGAGCAGCGTAGGGTGTCGAGTTGTGGTGCAAGTCGCAGGGAAGCGACGGTTGCCACCCACGCTTGATGACGTAATCTTGGGCTCACCCATGGCAGGACGTTTGAGCACAGGACAGGAAGCTAGTTGCATAGGAGCTCGTCTACACTTGATGCACTACGCCACATTCTGCACCTTGGGTGCGGCCACGTCCGAGAATTTGGGCGTTTCGACCAGCAGATCAGGGAGGAGGTGGAAAGAGAGAAAGAGAGAGAACCCCAAAAAAAACAGGAGGAGGAGGGAGGAGTATGAAAAATGTGCTGACTGGAGAGGGCGGGGCGTCGCTCCGCGGTTGGTCCCGCTTGTGCCACGCAGTGGTATGCGAGTGGGTTTCTCCCCATGGGCGGGTGCCGCAGGGCCTCACATCATCCCATCGTAAGCGTTGAGACTAAGCCACCGTGAGGCAATCGAGATCCACACGGTTGCATCATGGCTTCTGTCGTGAAGGAGCCCGTATGGTAAAGCGTGCGTTTGCCATCAGCAACTCTGTGAATGCGTTCAGATATGTATGCATGTGAGCATGTATTCCACCTGTATTTACATTCCAGCAACAGTGTTTGGACTCAGGGGAGCTTGACTTGTCTCTCGATGGAATTGGTTGGTATTTTGGGTGCTCGCCACATTGCCGCCCGTTGCCGCCGCATCGGTGGGTATTTCGAGGATTCGCCACGCTGCTGCTCGTTGCCGCCTCGGGGGGTATGTCGAGGATTCGCCACGTTGACGCACGCTGTTGCCTCGAGGGGTATGTCGAGGTATGTCGAGGATTCGCCACGTTGCTGCCCGTTGCCGCAGCAAGGGGAATGTCGACATTCGCCGGGTTGCCGCCCGTTGCCGACTCGGGGGGTACGTCGACGATTCGCCACGTTGCCGCCCCTTGCCGCCTCGGGGGGGTATATCGAGAATTCGCCTCGTTGCAGCCCGTTGCAGACTCGGTGGGAAAATAGAGCAGCGCACATTGGAGGAGGAGGAGGAGGAGGAAGAAGGAGGAGTACGAGGACGAACAGCGGCAGCAAAAGCTGTAGTGGAAGGAGCGGGAGGAGGGTGAGGACCAGGGGAAGGCGGAGGAGGCGAAAGGAGCAGGGCGAGAACGATGCGGAAGGATCCGGATCTGGAAAAGTGGCCCGCCTTGAGGCGAGAGTGGCCCACGCTGCAGCGGGAGCACCAGCTTGAGGCACCGCAAACGTTCGGATTGAAAAAACACCGCACAGACCAAATAATGGAATCCTGTGTGTGAAAGGATAATGGTCGAAGGGGGGCGGGCTGCTCCAGGGTCATCTTCGGGGGAGAGAGAGGAAAGCAGTATTCGTATTGAGTAATCGCCAGTGGGGGCAGAAGCGATACCAGGGTCAACGCACAGAGCGCAGTGGCAGCGCGCCTTGCGATTTCCCATCCGCCTGCCATATTCCCCCCACTCCTCCGTCTGTTTCCCTCCTCAACCTTGCGGGCACGAAGATGATCCCTCATCGCGCTTCTCACGGCGTTAACGTGGCTGACATCGGAGAGGGGACGGCAAGGGCGTGGAGGAACGAAGAGGGTTTACGGCAAGGGGGATCGATTATGTTCCAAAGGTTTTCTTACTCCTCCTCTCTGCTTCCTCCCCCCTCCTCCTTTTTTTTTGCTCCTCCCTTATCCTCCTTCTTCTGATCTCCTCATCCCCACTCTCTCTCCTCGAATCCTCTCCTCATCCTCCTCTTCCTCCCCTTCTTCTCCTCGTCCTCGTCCTCCCTCGTCCCTCCTCCGGTCGGTATCCACGTCCACCTCTTGGAATCAGGACATGGTGTGTTTTTGAGTGCAAGGTGTAACCATTTTCGTTCTCCTGTCATGGAGACAGTGGTCACCTGCATGTTCCGAGTATTTGTTCAGCACGGCAATCAGTAGATGAATGTATCCATATCAGGTGGGTATCGATGTTGCTAGAACTACCTCCCTGCAAAAGTTTTACGCTTCAGCCACAGACACACACGTTATCTATATATGCACATACAAGCATACATGCAAACATGCATGAATGCATACAGACATACATCCATATAATCCGACATACATACATGCATGCATGCATACATACACACAAACATACACCTACACACCTGTCCATGTATGCATGTGTACATGCATACGTACGTGCGCACGTACATGCATGCATGTACACATACGTACATAGTTGTAAACATATACATACACATAACTGTGTACATGCATACATACATACGTACATGCATACATGCATACATGCATGCATACATACATGCGTACACAAATGCATACCTGTATACATACATGCATGCATACATACATGCATGCGTGCATGCATACGTACATGCATGCATGCATACATGCATACATATATACATACATGCATGTATACAAACATACAGACAGACAGACAGGCAGACAGACGGTCATTCATGTCTACCTACATGCACGAAAGCAAATGTGTATACATATAATTGTGTATATGGATTGTCCATGTGTCCCTCTCTCTCTCTCTCTCTGTTCTCCCCTCTGCCATCTACCCTCGGAGATGTGATATCCACAGTAGGCTCTCCGATTCAGCCCGTGGTCGCAAGTACTTGTTTTGTCTCTCTCTCTCTCTCTCTCTTTCTATATGTATATAATAGATTATATATATAAATATATACATAAATATATATATATATATATTCCGTTTCGCTACTCCGTGTCTTTCCCTCTCTCCCTCTCTCTCTCTCTCTCTACCTATGCGTTTCTTCTTCTTATCATCTCAATTCGGTCTGCTTTCTATGTATGTACATTCGACCCTCTCTGCTCAACTCTGCTCTCTATGTACTCGATGAAACGCACTCTCTGCTGTCAACGCTGCCCTCTGATGTCGGGAAACTCCGAGAAACTGGAGCCCCGGAACAGGGCCGCCCACCGAATTCGGCCGAGAGCCCGGGACCAAGAGCACGGAAATTTGGCCGCCCACCGAAATTAGGCAAGCCAGAAAATGGTTTATCTGATTTTCCGATGTGGGAGCTTCTCGTCAGCTTACTTGGGGGCCCTCCTGGGTCCACTTTTGAGGTCCATGAGGCTCTCTTGAGGCCCTCTTGGGGCCCTTGGGGCCATCTTGGAGGCCATCGATTACAGAAGGGGGTTATCAACGTCAGCCTCACCGTCGGAGCCAGAAAAGCCGCCTGTCGGGGCGCTCTTCTGGCGCATTGGAGTTCTTATGGGCCCCTCTTTGGGCTCTCTTGGGCCATGCGGGAGCCATCTTGAGATCCCAGAGGCCCGTCGGAG